TATCTATCCGTCAATCTATCCATCTATCTATCAATATATATCTATTTCCATTCGTTTGTCAGTATGTCTATCGTCCACCAATCTATCTATCCGCCAATCTATCCATCTACCTATCATTATATATCTATCCACCTAACCATCCACCCACCAACCCTCTCTTCGGCACCCATCAACCCTTCAACTCTCACTAAGGCTTCCTCTTCTTTTCCTCCTTAGCTCCCCTCCATCCGTCCGTCCCTCCTTCCCTCTCTCCTTCTCTTCCACTCTTCTTCCATCCCTCCCCTCTCTTCCACTCTTCTTCCATCCCTCTCTCCCTATCTTCACTCTTCTTCCATCCTTCCCACCCTCCCCTCTCCATTCTCTCTCCTCTCCTCTCTATTTCCTTCTCCCTCTCTTCCTTCCTTCCTTCCCACCCCTCCCTCTCTCCCTCCCCACCCTCCCTTCCCCCCCTCCCTTCCTTCCCCCCCCACCCTCCCTCACCCTCCCCCCCCTCCCCCACCCTCTCACCCCCACTCCCTCACCCTCACCTCTCCCCCCTCCCCCCCACCAAGACCGTAATCGACGCCAGGCCTAATCCCGTTAAGCATCATTCAATTTGTTTACATCTTGTCGCATTAGCATTCTGTTTTCCTTTTCCTTCTTCCCTCCCCTCCCTCCCTCGCCGCCCGACGCCGCCGCTCCTTTTATTTCAAGGGACTCGAGAACCAACTTAATGTCGTCGGCCTTAATGCACCCTTGTTTTTTTTTTTTTTTTTTTTTTTTTTTTTTTTTTTTTTTTTTTTTTTTTTTTTTTTGGGTGGGGGGGTCTTAACATGGGGAGGGTGGGATGGGGGTGGGGTGAGGAGGGATGGGGAGGGGAGGGGTGAGGAGGGATGGGAGGGATGGGGGTGGGGTGAGGAGGGATGGGGGTGGAATGGGGGTGGGAGAATGGGGAGTGGGATGGGGTTGAGGAAGGAGTAGGGGGTAGGGGGTGGCGGTGGGGAGAGGGAAGGAAGGAAGTGAAGTAAAGAAAGGGAGAAGGGGTAGGAGGCAGGAAAGAGGGAGGGGGTGAGATAGATAAGGGGGAGAAGGGGAGAAGGGGGAGAAGAAGGAGAAGGAGAAGGAGAAGGGAGGAGGAGGAGGAGAAGGGTGAGGAGGGGAAGGAAGAGGAGGAAAATGAAGCATGAGGAAGGATCTTAGACGGGTAGGAGGCGTGAAGGAGAAGGAAGAGGAAACAGAACTTGGAAGACAGGAACAAGACAAAATGAAAGATGAAAAAAGAAGACGAAAGACCATACTAAAGAAGAAGAAAGAAAATAAGTAAGAAACAAAATAAAGACAAAATTGAATGTAAAAAAATCAAGAAAAAAAAAAAAACAAAAAAATCAGAGAAAGAGAAACAGAAAACAAAGAAAGGGGGGAACGGGCCAAATTAACAGAACCTCGAATCTTATCTCTTATCTCCACGCTTCCGTAAACCGAGAGGAAGTTATCTGTTGATCTAATATATACGGGAAGGTCTCTTTATGCATAATCCACCCCCCCCCCCCTCAGCCCTCAGCCCCCCGCCCCTCCACCCCCTCCCCGCCCGCCCAACCCGCTCCCTTAACTTCGCGCATCAGAATAATTGCACAAGTTTGGTCAAAGTCAATTTAGGCCTATCGCATTTCCACGTTTTCTCTTTCGCTCTCGTTCTTTGTCTTCTCTCTTTATCTCTTGTTCTCTCTTACCCTGTCTCTCACTTCCTCGTTCTCTCTCTCTCTCTCTCTCTCTCTCTCTTCTCTCTCTCTCTCTCTCTCTCTCTCTTTCTCTCTCTCTCTCTCTTGTGTGTGTGTGTGTGTGTGTTGTGTGTTGTGTGTGTGTGTGTGTGTGTGTGTGTGTGTGTGTGTGTGTGTGTGTGTGTGTGTGTGTGTGTGTGTGCATGCGTGTGAGCGTACTTGTGCGTGTGTGCGTGCGCGCGCCCGCCTCACTAGTCAGCCCGCCAGCCTCTCTCCCTCTCTCCCTCTCTCCTTCTGTCTCCAACACGAGGCACAATTTCACGGCGTCCTTCAGAAGTCCTTCTTTAACTTCGGGTGAGAATTTCCCTAAACATGGGCCATGCTAATCAAGTTGAGGATAAAAGAGTTAAAAAGAAGAAAAAAAAAGAGAAATAAGAATACAGGGAAGAAGACTGGCGAAGGAAAGGAGGGGGGAAGTAAGGAGAGGCACAGAAAATTAAGAAACAATATAAACGCAAAATCTAATAATAATGATTTTAAAAATTATGCCATTCACAATAATAAAAAATAATAAAAACAGCCATTCACAGAATATACCATTACCGAACTGGAAAAAATACAAACGCATAATAAGTACGATTCAAAATCAGTCATACGTTTGTAAAATGAAAGCTGTATATATTTCTAAAATCCCCAATAGCAACACCATTTACCGAAAGAACACTAGCAACAAAACACAAATTCAACCGCACTAAAAATAAAACCAAAAAAAAAGTTACAGGACCAAATAGCTAAAAAAAAAAAAAAAAAAAAAAAAAAAAAAAAAAAAAAAAAAAAAACAGTAATAAGAAATAAACGAAAAGAAAAAAAAAAAAACAGAAATAAAATAGCAAACAAAAAACGTAAAATAACATCACCGTAACAAGAACAACCGCAACAACAACAAAAACTCTAAACAAAAAACGTAACAACACCGTCATAGATCACACTTGCTATAACGAGCTCACAGACAACGCAAACCACTCCTAACTGCATCCTTAACCCAAGTGCCATCATTACACAGATGACGAAATAGCACGGTGGTGATGATGGTGGTGATGATGTGGCGATGATGGTGGTGGTGGTGGTGATATGTGATGTGATGGTGATGATGATGGTAATATGATAAGTGATGATGGTAATATAAGTGGTGGTGATGATGATAAGTGAGGATGGTGATGATGTGACAATGGTGATGAAAACTGATGTGATGGTGATGGTAATATGATAAATGATGGTGATGATGATAAGTGAGGATGGTGATGATAAGTGATGAAAAGTGATGTGATGGTGATAATGACGATGGCAATATGATAAGTGGTGACGAGGATAAGGCGGTGGTGATGATAAGTGATGGTGATAATGCTAAGCGATTATGATGGTGATGATGGTTCTGACGATGACTACGACATAAACAATAAGAATAATAAACAAAAACAGCTTTCAAGGAAATGAACAACGCACCTGAATTCACACTTGCCTTTATAACACAGACGTCCGTCATAACACCACACAGAAAAAAGCACATAAAAAAAACTCTTTTTCTACACCACAACACAAAAAAATCACACAAAAAATTAAAATAAAAACAAAAACAGAAAAAAAAACAGGAAAAAATAAAATCACACACACAAAATAAAAATAAAAATAAAACCAGACAAAAATAGGAAAATAAAAAAAATCACACAAAAAAATAAAAACAAAAATAAAACAAAAACAAAAAAACAGAAAAAAAAAACAAAAAAAAAATCACTCTCGCAGTCTATAGCCCTTGCAATCGGCAGTCACGAGCGCTGGGAATCTGCAGACCGGCGGCAGAGAAGCAGGCCTGTGCACTGAGGGGAAATTAGCGCCTGGGGAAGGGGGAAGGGGAGGATGAGGAGAGGGGGGAAGGAGGAAGGGGTAAGAGGGGAAGAGGTAAGAAGGGGAGGGGGAATGAGTGGAAGGGGGGAGGAGGAGGCGGAGAGGGGGGAAGAGGAAGGGGTAAGAGGGGGGGGGGTGAGGGGAGGGGGGAATGAGTGGAAGGGGGTAAGGGGGAAGAGGTAAGAAGGAGAGAGGGGGATGAGTGGAAGGGGGAAGGGGAAGGGGTATGAGTGGAAGGGGTAAGAGGGGGAAGGGGGGGGTGAGTGGAAGGGGTAAGAGGGGGAAGGGGGGATGAGGAGAGGGGGAATGAGTAGAAGGGGGAAGGAGGGGGAAGGAGGAGAAGAGGAGAAGGTGGAGGAGGCAGGGGAAGGTGGGGATGAGGAAAGGGGGAAGGGGAGGAGAGGAGAGAGAGGGAGGATGGAGGTAGAGGGGTAAGGGGTTGGGGGAAGGAAGGGGTGAGGGGAGGGTGATTGGGGAGGGAATAGAGAAACAGAGAACGGAGACAAAGGAGAAGGAGAAGGAGGGAGAGGAGAAAGGAGGGATAGGAGGAAAGCGAAGTAAAGTAGAGGAGAGTGGATGAAAAAAATGAAACCAAACGCTACGAAAGAAAAAGAAAAAAGAGAGAAAAAGAAAAACAGAGAAGAACCAGAAGGAAGAGAAAAAAAAAAGCGAAAGGAGGAGCGGAAGAGAGGAGGAGAAAGAGGAAGACAGGCAAGGAGGGGAGAGCCTAAGCCTATTTACAAGTTTAGCTGTACCTGAAGCTTTATAAAGTTGGGAGCCGGTGGGGGTGAGTGGGGGATGGAGGGGGGGGGGAAGAGAGAGTGGGGGATTTTCACGATTCATTTCCTTGAGTGGGCTTAGGTCAACTGGGCAGCAGTGCTAATCTATGTATATATCGTGAATGAATATATATTTGTCTGTCTACCTATCTATTAATCTATCTATCTATCTGTCTATCCTTCTATCTGTCTATCTATCTGCCTATCTATCTATCCATCTATCTAATCTATGTATATATCATGAATGAATATATATTTGCCTGTCTACCTATCTATTCCCCTACCTACCTATATATCCGTCTATCTATCTATCTGATTACCCGTCTATCTATCTATACATCTATCTTTCTATCCGTCTATCTACCTATCCATCTATCTATCTAGCAATTCTATCTGTCTATCTAACTATACTATTTCTATTCATCTACCGATCCATACATCTATATACTATCTATCCACTATCTACCTACCCATCTACTACTCTCTCCCACAGGCCTATCTATCTACCTCTCTATCCACCCATCTCTCTCTCTATCTATCCACTATCTACCCACCCATCTCTCTCACCCACAGGCCTATCTATCTACTATCTACCCACCCATCTACCTCTCTCCCACAGGGCCTATCTATCTACTATCTACCCACCCATCTACCTCTCTCCCACAGGCCTATCTATCTACTATCTACCCACCCATCTACCTCTCTCCCACAGGCCTATCTATCTACTATCTCCATCTACCTCTATCTACTATCTACCCACCCACTATCTCTCCCACAGGCCTATCTATCTACTATCTACCCACCATCTACCTCTCTCTACTCTACGCCACCCATCTACCTCTCTCCCACAGGCCTATCTACCTACTATCCACCCACCCATCTACCTCTCTCCCACAGGCCTATCTATCTACTATCCACCCACCCATCTACCTCTCTCCCACAGGCCTATCTCCCCACACACCTAAGGCACTAAACTCCCCCACGGTTTCAACTGCTCCCCGCGATTCCCAGTCGGAATCTAAACCCATTCCCGGCCTGGAGATTCCCGGGGGCGAAAAGTCGATATGGTCAAGTAATGAGCTTGTATAACAGGTGCGCTGTGATCTCTCTGCTTCTGTTTTATCCTTGTGTTTATTTTTTACCCTCCTTTTTTTTTATTTATGTCTCTCTTCCTTCCTGTCTTTCTTTTCTTTTCTTTCTTTCTTTCGCTCTCTCTCCCTTCCTGTCTTTCTTTTCTTTTCTTTCTTCTTTCGCTCTCTCTCTCCTCTCTCTTTCTCCATCGCTCTCTTTCTCCCTTTCCCTCCTTCACTCTCTCTCTCTTTCCCTCCCTTTCTCTCTATCTATCTCCCTCCGTCCCCTTGTCCCTCCCTCCCTCCCTCTCACCCCCCTTTCCTCTCTCTCTGTCCCTCTCTCCCTCCTTCTGTCCTCTGTCCCTCCCTCCTTCTATCCCTCCCCCCTCCCTTCCTCTCTCGTTCTATTCCCTCTCCCCTCTCCCTCTTTTTATCTCCTCTCCTTCACCTTCTTTCTCTCCTCCCTCTTCCTTCTCTCGCCCTCTCCCTTTTCCCCTCCCCCCCTCATCCACTTGGCAACGCAACCTACCCAGCATATACCTTGCATCACCTTGCAACCTTCCGCCACAGAAAAACGGCTTTTAATGCATGTAAACAAATGCATGAAACACATCCCATCATGCATTGCGTTCCTCAGTGTCATGCACAGCCGGATATGGGGTTAGGGTCGTGTGACTCTTTGGAGTATATTGCAAGAAAATTAAAATCTATGGCATTGATATCGGAAAGAAAAGAAAAATTCTAAACTTTAAATGGAGGAGATGGAGGAGGAGAGGAGGAGGGGGGAGATGGAGGAGGAAGAGGAGGAGGGGGAGATGGAGGAGGAAGAGGAGGAGGGGGGAGATGGAGGGGGGAGGAGGAGGGAGGAGGAGGAGGAGGAAGGGAGGGATGAGGAGGAGGGGAGGAGGAAGAGGGGAGGAGGGAGGGAGGAGGAGGAGGAGGAGGAGGAGGAGGAGGAGGAGGGGGAGGGGGGGGAGGAGGAGGAGGAGGAGGAGGAGGAGGAGGAGGAGGGGGAGGAGGAGGAGGAGGAGAAGAAGAAGAAGAAAAGAAAAGAAGAAGAAGAAGAAGAAGAAGAAGAATAGGAAAAACAAGAGGAGAAAGAAGATGAAGAGGAGAAGATGAAGAGGAGGAGGAGGAGAAGAAGAAGAAGATGAAGAGGAAGAAGAAGAAGGAGAAAAAAGGTTCATGTGACTCTTTGGAGTGCCGGAGAATAATGCAAGAAAAATAAAATCTATAGCATTAATATCGGAAAAGAAAGTAACCAACTAATAAAAAATGAGACACGAGAAAAGAAATTACAAACTTTAAATGAAGAAGAAGAAGAAGGAGGAGGAGAAGAGGAGAGGAGAAGAAAAAAGAAAAAGAAATAAAGAAGGAAAGCAGGAGGAGGAGAAGAAAAAAAATGAAAAGAAATAAAAAGAAATAAAGAAGAAAGAGAGGAGGAGAAGAAAAAAATTGAAAGAAAAGAAAAAGAAATAAAGAAGAAAGAGGAGGAGGAATGAAATTAAGAAGAAGAAGAGGAGGAGGAGGAGGAGGAGAAGAAGAAAAAAATGAAGAAAAGGAAAAAAGAAATAAAGGAAGAAAGAGGTAGGAGAAGAAGAAAAAACATGAAGAAGATAAAAGAAAAGAAATTAAAGAAGAAAGAGTAGGAAGGAGGAGGAGGAGGAGAACCGAATGAAAAAAATGACAGAGCAAAAAGTCGAAAAAGAAATAAAAGAGGAAAAGAGGAGGAGGAGAAACGAAAAAATGAAGAAAAAGCAAAAAGAATAAAGAAGAAGAAAGAGGGAGGAGGAGAAGAAAAAATTTGAAGAAAAAGAAAAAGAAAAATAAAATAAACCATAAAAAAATAATAATCATAAATTAAAATAAAATAAAATAAAAAATATAAAAAAAAAAAAACATACAAACATATTAAAAAAAATAAAAAAAAAAAATAAAAACAAAAAAAAAAATAATTATAAAAAAAAATATAAAAAAACAAATAAATTTTAATAAAAAATAAAAATAAAGAAAATAAATAAAAAATAAAAAATAAAATAAAAAATATAGAAA